TGCATACATAAGCAGTTCCTGGCTTAACGAGAACTGTTTAACAAATCGAAAGGATTCTCCTGTCGCACACATAGTCTCACTGTAGTCAACCTTTATAAGGCGTCTGAGGGCGATGTGTATGTGTGAATAGTTATTTTGTTGCTCGGTTATAGAGCATTTTGTTCAAGCCGTATTTTCGCAATACGTGTCAAACACAAACTGAAAAAACACATTTTTTCTCCAAATAATATGTCGACGATAGAATAGAAAAACGTGTTACTTACATTTGCTATTGTTTTACTAGAAGTACACAAAGCAATGAATTTAAAGTGAAGTATATACAATATACCCTTTTTAATTCAATAATCTGTACATCATATATATATATATAAATAGGAGCTGATGCAAATGTGGTATACCCATTTGTTTTTAGATTGCCAAATTTTTATTTTTTATCCGATTAAATTGAAAATTTACACTTAACATGCTATATGTGTTGTCTTCCCATGTATCAATTTGAAAATAATATTCTAGCAATTTAAGAGATATTTGAGAAAATATTAGAAATCGCATAAAAAGTGATTTTAAAAAAGTGCAGGTAATGTGGTATACCACATGATGTTAATGTGGTATAGTATAATTTTCAATGTGGTATTATATAATTTATCGTTTTTAATGAATGCGAATTAGCTCGAGATTTATGTCTGTTAAGATTTTTAACGGATACGTTGAGTGCAACTTTAATTTTTATTATATAATAATGTCTACACGTGGCAATATTTAATTTTTGTATGGAGAAGTTGTTAAAGCTCATAGCCTTTGTTTTTCATCCCTGTGATTCATGGTAGACTCTCGTAGAGTACAAATATTTCACATAGTAATGAGATTTTGTATAGTGCTGGCCTTTTTTCATGCAAAATCAAGGTATACCACATTACCTACACTTGTGTTTACTGAAGAAATGTCTAGTTTTTTTTTTTTCAAATTGGTGATTATGTGGTGCAATCGCGCATATTATTTGATTTTTAGTTCATACTGATTATTTTAATGCTTTATTAATAAGGATTAAAGTACATCCGTAAAACAAAAAAATATTTTTAAACTTCAACCGAAAAAAAGTCAATTTCATGAAAAATTTTATTTTTGGTACTGATTTTCAACGTGATTTAAATAAATTAAACAGGTCATTGCTATCTTATTTTTTTGAGAACAGCAAACTATAGAACATGTTTCAGTTATTCTAAAATTTTCAGTTTACAAAAAAAGTGACTATACCACATTACCAACCTATACCACATTTGCATCACTTCCACTATATATATATTCGGGTAATGTGAACTACCATTTTATTGTGATATTGTAGGCGTACCAACCGTAAAAAATAAAAACAAATTGTTTTCACAACATAGTAGATTTGTTGTCCAAATATATTATATATATTTTTCTATAAAATGTTATTGCATTATATTTAAAAAAAAAACTCAAAACTACATAAAAATAACTTGGCGGGTAATGTGGACCAGTATGTTAAAAGTAGAGTAAAAGTAAAGTAGAAATGTTTTTAATATGGGCCCATGTTTCAAACTAATCCCCATGAAAATAACCTGTTTTTCTAGTGGTCTACATTACCCGAAATTTTTGTATTTAAAACAAATTTTCGGCTTTAAAAATAAATAAAAATTTAAACTCATTGATTGTATTTACAACTAAACGTGAATTTAATATACAATTTACACTTTTACAATTAATTGAAAACCTTTTTTCATTACCTAAATCTTGACATTTTGTTTACATTTGCAATATACAAAGTTATCACATTTGAGCCGGAGAATATGCGATCATTTCCAGTGAATCCAGAGAAAGAGCTCCGAAAGGCATTGCATATTATAAAAAACGTCACTTCCACGACATATGCATAAAAAAACAACTATAAGTCAGTCATTTATATAATTTACTGTGAATATATGAATATGTATAAAAATATATATTGAATTCTAAACTGAAATTATATATTGTTATTTCATAGATTCAAACACTGCAATATTGGTATAATTACAAATTAGCCAAGTTAATAAATAGTTATCTTAACATATACCAACTAATAGTGATTTCGAAAATTCTACATACAAATTAATCTCTTTTAGACCGATGACTATCTGCATTTTTTTAATCTAACTATAAATGGGTCAAAAATAACTAGTTTGTAACCAGTTGAAAAGTTACTGACTACTACCGCGATCATCGCCATGTAAAAATGGTCAGTTGGTCCAAAGAAAAATAATCGATAAATGGACTAGTAGTGACTATTTTAAAATTAGTTTAAAATTGGTCCATTTCCCTACAGGGCGTCTGAGGGCGATGTGTATGTGTGTATAGTTATTTTGTTGCTCGGTTATAGAGCAGTTTATTCAAGCCGTATTTTCGCAATACGTGTCAAACACAAACCGAAAAAACACATTTTTTCTCCAAATAATATGTCCTCGATAGAATAAATATATTATATATACTTTTCTATAAAATGTTATTGCATTATATTTAAAAAACTCAAAACTGCGAATAAAAATAACTTAGCGGGTAATGTGGACCAGTACGTTAAAAGGCTGGTTGTTGATTGATTGTGATGGAATACCTCCTCGTAGAAATGTTTTTAATATGGGCCCATGTTTCAAACTAATCCCCATGAAAATAACCTGTTTTTCTAGTGGTCTACATTACCCGATTTTTTTTTATTTAAAACAATTTTTCGGCTTAAAAAATAAATACAAATTTAAACTCATTGATTGTATATACAACTAAACGTGAATTTAATATACAATTTACACTTTTACAATTAATTGAAAACCTTTTTTCATTACCTAAATCTTGACATTATGTTTACATTTGCAATGTACAAAGGAATCACATTTGAGCCGGAGAATATGATATGTCTAGATATGCAAATAAATGATTATATTTCCAAAACATCTTGTGATCTCGTATTGTGAGCAGGATTTTTAAGCAGTACAAAGCATTAGTTTACCTTTTCCAATAGAATCTGATTTTTTTCGTACCAAATATTGTCAATGTCCATTGTTTATATATTTCCTAAAAAGAAGCACATTTTGCCCGTTGCAGCAATTAAGGAAACATAAATGGAAAACAATTAAATTTTCTCTTTTTCACTTTGCCCATACACAATGTGAAAAATATTTTGTTGCGGTTAATTTTTTTCATATCTCTCCTTAGATTTTTGCGAGTGGGAACAATGAGAGTAACATTTCTGAGGGGTAAGGATGAAAAATAATGCAATATTAAGTATGTTGAAATCAAAGGAATTCTTCCAGACAAGAGTCATTTCTAGCTACACAGATGAAATAAGCTTCGCAAGGGAAGTTTTATTCTTCCTTTCAACCGGCAAAATGAAACTATCCGACTAAGAGGAAGCTATTGTTGTGTATGTGTATTTCCAACAATTGCATTTATAAAGATATTCTTTCGATATCAATATTTTCTTTAAATGCCAATTTATGTAAAAAATTTATTATTTATTAAATATGGGTCCACGGTACAGAAAAGGGCAAGATTTCGATTTTCTAGTTTGGGATTATCGATATTTTAAATTGTAAGTCGACATTACATACAATTCCAGCAAATTACTGCACATCGACTTTAAGCGCATCTATATAGCTATTTTGTATTTGCATTAAAAACACACATTTCAATTCAAATCCCTTGTAAGCTTATCGTTACATTCCTCATGTAATCTTTTCCTCTACTCTCTGTCCTCCGACTGCGCTTCTGCTTTCAAAACTTATGACAAAGTGTAGATGACATAGCATAAAAAGCATTTTGACGCCCCACGCCTTATCGATGCTTTTGGAGGATCCTCTCCTCCCCGGCTTGTGAAAAGTGACTGGCTGCACTCTTGAATCAACATTTGAATAGCAAGAAGGAAAACATTAGTGTTCGGCATTTATTCAGTAGCGAAACAAAAAATACTGTTTAGAGTGCGATTTTACTTCTCTCTTCTACCATTCCATTCGTCTTTATAAAAAAAAAGAAGCAATGTTGACTTTGAACACTTTTCCACTTCGTCGAGTTTTTTCGCAAAGCGTCATTGTGAAAAGAAAAAATTGCAATTTGTAAGGGAAAAGTTTTAAAACCTGTCCCAGGCATTTGAAAAGTGTGTGAATAAAACAAAATTGTTTAAGGGACTATTTTTGCCTCAGAACATGCTCCATTAGAACGAATTATTTGTTTTAAACAACTTTTTGATTCGTTTTAAACTCACTTTGAATTTGAGACAAAGTTTGTAAAAGAATATTTCTCTTTATTGCTTTTATCAACATGTTGTTGTAACACTGTCGGATCAATTCCATTAATTTAATGGGGATTTAATTTTGCCCTCTTTAGGTGTCATAAACAGTAGACATCGAAATTTTTTCGAAACAAAAATACGAATCAATAAATCAAATTACTCACACACATTTTGTTTGGTAAAGAAGTCCACTAAATATATGATTCATAGGTTCGAAATGAATAAGATATATACAGGCCTCCAAATAATACTCTCCAAGTGCATGGACTTGTAAAGTGTATTTAGTGGTTCGCCTTTTCAACAGACGTGCTTTGAAAAATACATAAAAAAGAAACAACAGAAGTAACGAAATGAAATAATGAAGAAGTCAACTTGAGTTTATATTCGTAGTACTTCCAACATTTTCATCGTCGTCAATGGGTCCATACCATAATTGTCGTCAACAATCATGTCACTTTTTGACTTTATCCACTCTTGTGATACAGGTCTTTCACTACTGCACAATATTCTAAAATATGTCTAAATCGTTCGACGGAAGTTTTGGATAGCGATTCCAAATCCGGACCTACTAAATTCAAATTTGTTAATAGTTTCTCTTCTCACCCAGAATAATATTAAATAATCGTCTAAACGCAAAATGAATACCCCATTTAAACCAAATTAATTTAATTGCACAAACAAGGACTTCGAACCATATTTTTACAATTATGAAATATCTACTTACCATTTGCTGTTGGTTTTTGGGTTTCTTGTGGAGATCCGGCACTTTGAATGAAGTTACCGCCTCAATCACCTCGGCCAGTAGTAAGCCATCTCGACAGTCAGCAGATAAGTCTGTGACTTTTTTCTTTGATTTGGCACGTTCCAGATAATAGTTGGCCCAATCGGTGTAGATCTGAAAATTTAAGAAACATTCCATATAGTAACAATAATCAAAAATAATTCTTAATTTCTTCAATTATGCCATTACATAGTTATTAAAATGAAATGCTAATGACAACACAGCTACTTTAAAATTTCCGGAGTCACACACACTAAGGAATGAAAGTCATTATTGAACTTTTTTCCATTGTTTTTGCCTTAAATTAACCATGTAGCCAAATAGTTAGGCTATTCGGATTTTACATAATTTCGGGAATTTGCTATACAACTTCTATTTATTAAATAAAAATATTGGCTTTGCATACGAACGACTATTACTTCAGTTTAATGGCCTTAATTAGTTTTGGCAGCATATGGTGTTGCTCTTGCCCAGCAATTTTCTTCTATAGCATCCGTTAGAAAAATCCATTAAAATCGTTTGAAGCTATTAGAAAATCATTACTGGTGGGTGTGGGGTAGGAAGGCCTAGCGACACATAATGTTTTAGTGCAAAATGCTTGTTGGGAACAAATTCACAAGCTATAGTATTTTATGTAAGTCTTTTTTTGTCAATGTCCATTTTTTTATTATTTAATTAAATTATTGTTGAAACGAGAGAAAAATTACTGTATTGTAATCGATTCGTTATTTCTGAAATAGTCAAACAACGCAGATATTATTAATATGTATTATAAATGTAAAGTCATACAATTGTATCAAATTATAAATACTGACAAATTTCAATACAAACCTTGGCGTAGTCGGCAATGTTTTCACAAGATCCTTGATAGCTGACACATCCACCCAACATGTCGATGTTTTATTGAAATATTCGTGTATGTGTTATTAGTATGTACACAATATAAGAAAAAAATCAGTTTCTGCTTTAAATAATACATTAACGATCCATTACTGTTGAAAGGTAATTACTACTATTAATGTAAAACATAATATTACTCATACACACTTTTCATATTTCTATGTACGAATTTTCTAACCATATTTCTTTTTCTATTTTCAGATATATGGGAGGTAAGATTTATTTGAAAAATTTTCCTATGATATTGTACGAATATGACTTTAGTGAATCGGACAACGCAGACACCATGTAATTAGATACATATTTAGTGAAGTTTTTAGAACACGTCACTGTAAATACGCCATAGATCTGTGTTTTCAACAGCCTATACCTATTTCAGATGTCATTCAAAACATTTCAATTGCAAGCATTCATAACATTTCATTTGTAATGCGATAATGTAGTTGGTAATTCACAACATTTCATATGTAATTCAAAAATTCCATTTGAAATTTAAAGAATTTCATTTGTATCTCGTATATTTTCATTTGAATTTTTTAGGGTTTCATTTGACGTTCAAAGAAATCCTTTTGAAATTCAAAGAATTCAATTTGAAATTTATAACATTTCACTTGTAATTCATAAAAGTTCAGTTGTAATTCATAACAACTCATTTCAAATTCATACATATTCATTGTATGCAGTTTTGCCAAAGCTTTTTTGATAAAAAATGCTAGATTTACTTTAAAAAAGTGCTAAAAAATTTAAAAAAGTGCCAAATAAAAGTGCTAAAAATGTTTATAATAGAAATTAGTAGAATTGACTGTAATTTGATATTTTTGGATTTTCATTAGGTTCAAATTTCCCATCAAAAATTATCAATGTGGGCTATGTTTCAGGATAGGCCCTAGAGAATGAAATTTTGTGGACGTCCGCGCATCTACATAAGCATAGCTAGAAATTTCAAACTTTGCGACAGTTATTTATAGATCAAAGTTAGTTAACGCCAATGTCGAATGTGCCGTAGTTTCATCTATGAAGAAAACTCTCAAATTAAGGTTGGCACATAGGCCTCATATTAAAGTACTGCTTTTTGATGTAGGTCCAACTTTTGACATAACCCCATTACAAAGTTAAACGCGACTCATTTTCTGTACTCTGAAGTGGCTATAATTTGGCATTCCGGATTCACAGTGAATAAAAGCTCCTTTCCAGAAAGTTTCCGATTTAGGTTCTACACCACACAAAGGCCTGGTTTTTCATTTTACTAAATAAACAACCTTCTAGCCAGCTATGCTATAGTATTAATATGTCCGATAATTTTTAGAGAAAATGTTAATACACCATGTGGAGGAGGTTATAAAAAGTTCTAACTGGCTGAATTTGAAAATTTTTAGCTGTTTACAGATGTACTGACTCTTTTTTAACATTAGGGTTAATTTGAAATCGAACATTGCCGAAAATTTTAACTAATTTCAGAAAAAATAAAAATGCTAAAAAAGGTGCTAGGTGCTAGATCACTTTTTTTGGTGCTAAACGAGTTTGAAAAGTGATAAATCTAGCACTAAAAGTGCTAAATCGGCAGCACTGATTGTATGTTACCAATAACATTTAAAATTAAATGTTATGAATATCAAATGAAATGTTATGTATTTCAAATGAAATGTAATGAATTTCAAATGGAATTTTTTGAATTTCAAAGGCAATCCATTGAATTTCAAATGGAAGTATATGAATATCAAATGTAATTCTATGAATTTCGAAAGATGTTTTATGAATTTCAAAAGATATTCTATGAAATATAAATGAAATTCTCGAATTACAACTGATATGTTATGAATTGCATATGGAATTCTCGAATTGCAAATTGTATGTTGTGAAATACAAATGGAATTCTCGAATTACATTTGATATGTTTTGAATAACATGTGAAAAAGGTGTAGTGAACTCTATTCAATGAAAAATATTCAACGGCAACCGACCATATATGTTCACAATTTTGATAACATTTTTATTACATGACCATGGATTCCATTAAATTGTAAATTTCAAATTTAATCAAATCTGATGTACGGCATAGAGAAAATTACTTGATTTTAAACATATTCAATATTAAGTTACATAGAATCAAATCTGATGTACGGCATAACGAAAATGTCCCAAACATTCCAATTAATTTATTTTCATTTCTCATTTCTCGTATTCTCTCTTTTCTTCTTATCTATATTACCAAAAAAGTGAAACCCCTATTCTGTTTCATTTTTCTCCATATTTATTAATATCAATATTTGTGCAATGCAAATTAGCATTTTTGGCAATAAAATCAACTGTATGGTAATCGAAAATTATGTCGATTGATTCTTGTAAGTCGAGAGTCCTTTATTGCGTTCTTAAACTCTTGTCAATAACACATTAAACGAATCATCCTCATCCGATTTGCTTTTTCAACATAAAAATAATACTTTGTCGACAGTGCAAATACCGGGAGTGCGCGAGAATCCCTTTTGTCTTGCCATTGTTCTTTGATGATAAGGCGTTTTCCAAGACAGCCGGTTAGGCGTAGACGACAACGCCTGCCAAGCTAATTGAAAAACTTGCAATATCAAGAATATCCTGAATAAAGTGTGGCAACTGACGGTGGTGGTTCGTTTGCCACTAACTTAGGGTTAAACACATCAAACAACAGGTCTTCCTTCGGTTGTTTAACTGGTCGTCCAAAGCTTTTTGCATAATTGCTTAGTTTCCTCAAATGGTATTGTGTTGTTGTTGTTGCAGCAGTAGTCCACCCTTGTCATCGGAGATTTCATTGTGGCCATTTATCACAGCTCTGAGATTGTTAAATGCGTCCCAGGCTAAAGGTAGCTATAGTTAATGGTTTTCCTAATCAGTGTTCAAAACGGAAAGAAGGACATTTGTTATTCGCAATTTATTTGTTATCAGTGGCCGTGGACAAATCAGCATAAAATCTGCTTACCCCGACGATTGTCTCTCCACACTTTCCAAATTTATTGTTAGGCCGATAACTCGGAAAAGGTGTTCCGCCTATGCGAAGGCCTTTAAATCGGAATTGTTATTATTATCGCACTATTAAGCTTACCCATACACCACGAATTGCTTACGAAGTATTAAGAAAAGGAGGAGTCACGATTTCCTCAAAGAAGAACAATTAAAAGGTGGTTCTTATTTTATATATACCTAAGTGTTTGGCTTTGAGGTTGAATTAAGGACAAAAAACAGTAAAAGAAGAGGTGCCATATTGGGGTGTAAATGCATACGACATGGTGATATTCAATTGGAGTTGGAGCCCTGCAAAAGTCATTTAGTTTTACATTCTAATGTTGATGCAGACACGAAACACTGAGTATTGCTATCAGATAGTTAGGACTGTCAAATGTTATTTCAGTCATCCAATGCGTAGGATAGGTTGGTTTCTTGAATTAATTAGTCTTACACAAAAAACGTAGATGTGTACTTATGTGGATGTCATTTTAAACTGCAACTGCCTAATAAGCTACTAAAACTTCATTGGGACTGCTATCCTGGACTCGAGACAGTGGTGTGTCTACATCGACGTTTCGACGTGCCCTCGCTATGTATGCTGAGTTCTTAATAATGTTTTATCAATATCTATCTAAATATATTTTAATACTTTTACATTTTCCCATTCAAGTTTTCAATATCTCATGCATGCATACCTATTTGGCTCCGAATTCTAAGTGCCTGCCAAAATCAATTTGCTTAAAAGGTACACAGAAAGTTTGACGTGTATTTTTTGTTATTTTCCTGTTTATTTTGATGTTGGATTCTGTTGCTGCTTTTTTGGCAACTCACCTTTCTTCCCTTCCACATCTCTGTTACGATTTCCCAGAAATATGTATAGGGATGGTGGTGTACATGGGCTACTGACGCTTCAGATATAAAAAGTAAATATAAATAAAATACTCTACGGAATATCAAATTGCTATAAAATTCTTATGGCATAAAGACCTGGTGATGACGGTGGCTGGGACTACTACAAATATCAAAATAAATTGGTCTGGGTATTGGTGGTGTGGAGTTGGGGGTTGAAGCAGGCAAATTTTCTTCTGCTCAAAACATTGAAAGATAATTTCGTTGCCGTTTGATGCCACAAGTGGGTCACATTTATATTTGATGAGATGTCGTCAGAAATGAAGAGTATTTAGATAGACATTAATGGCAAACATCAAAATAGACATGTGGAGAGACTTCCTAAAAGCTTCCACATCTCGGAAATTCGAAGCAAGCATATTTTTGTCACTCCCTTCATTATTTGGTTCAATGTTCCCATTCTTTCTTCCAACGATGTTTATGATAATTTAAAGAAAGTCCTACGAAACAAGTGAAATGCTTTCCCACTTGACTTTCGCATCCCCAGTCCACACTTAATATGATTGTTTTTCTCGATTAGTTTAGAAACTATTTCGAACAATGTGATCTTCTTTTAGAGAATCCATTTTTGGGCATTTGAATTGTTATTGAGAACACATCAATATTGAATATATTTTTCGCTTGGTGAAGTTTTTTTGTGTGCTGTATGTCCGGATGTATGTTTGTAATTGACATCTGTCAAGTTTAACAATTGCACACCAAAAACAATGGTAAACAATACGAAGAATTAAATTGTCACTTTATAGTCACTTTACAATACAAGGTGTACGTTTTGGAATTGTGCCATAGGTTTTTTAATATTGCCACCTAGCTGAAGTCTGTGTTCACCTGTTTATAAATCAGGAATTGTTATGGTATGGCATCCAAATTCAGTAGTTTTGAATTAACTGAATTGGTTTTGTTTAATTTACTATTATAATGTAAAAAATAATTAAATTATTTGGGTAGTGTTTAGTGGTGTCTCGATTTATGACTGAACGTCAATTTGATATATGAGTCGTTTATTTTGAAAGTGATATAAGTCAAATTTTTTGAAATATGTAAAGGTTTGGGTTTGATTTGTCTGAAAAATATTCTTATGTGGTATTAATTATGTTTTTGGCTTTGTGCCCTAAAACATGCTAG